ATATTGGCTGTAGGTCTTTCCCTCCCAATGACAAATATCATCTAAGTATTTAAAAATACTTTCTTTTATATTAAATTAATCTATTGATTGAATTAGGAAATGTTAGTATAGTAAATATAATATAGTTATGTAAAGTATTGAAATAAATAAATTATCTCCAAATTTCTTTGCTTATTTATTTTTTTGTTCATAATCCTTAATATATAAATATCTTATTCAGAATATGCTTTTATATGAGTATATTAAAGAGGATAAGTTCATAACCAATATATAAAAAATAATGTTGTCTATATAACATTCAGTGAAGAAGATTATTTAAAATTGTATATCAATATTCTCGTTCGATTTATCTACATATGAATCTTTACATTCCACTTTAATTTCAGTAATTTTGTGCCACTGCACACGTTGGTTGTATTTTTTGTGTACTTGGAAATGGTAATATTTCCAATAGAAACGTATGTAAATTTTCGATTTACGCTCGCATCAATATATTTAAATGGCGATGTGCCCTCGTGCCCATTTATATTCAGCCGAATTGAAAAGATTTTAACAACGTGCTGCATAAATATTTGAGAATATTGGAGTGATGGCGCGAAAATATTGCATTTTGTACATGCGAATAATATTTCCAGTTGAAGTTAGAGCAACCGCAACGAGTGATGAAAATCCGCATTGTTTATGCATTTTGTTTAGTTTTTTTTTAAGAATTACAAGAGTAATTAAAGGTAACGTGCATCAGTGAATGCTTTGGCGCAAGGCCAAAACTATCTCAATAAGGATTTTAGGAATCCTTTCCGAGTAATTGCTCTTACGACAGAAGCGATATAATCTGAGGCAGTAAAGAATGTGTCCGATCTATTTGTCGCTTATTAACGTATATTAAAGAGACGTTCTGGACATCTGGGAGCCCCTGATCATGGGTATTTTAACAATGCTCTGGTAATGCTAAAAATAGGTTGAGGATCTAGTAGGAATGTCTAAGAGTAATTAATCTTCTTTTGACAGAGAACGAGAAAGAACTATAAACTGTTAATGAAATTCCTTATTTTATTATAGTACTTATTTACATACATTATGCGATTTAAATTTTATCCTTTCTTTGAAACAAACTCAGCAATGAAAATGATGTTCGTTAAATGGCTTATCACAACTATGTCTTTTTTTTTAAACTAAATATTCTCTAAGTAGCTTTGAAACAAGCAGTCACTACATGATGGATGAATATTTGCGATTAAAATATTCCCTAGTATGGTAATGGTAGAATGCCCCGGTGAGACGCATTTTGGTTTCCAACTTTTTGTCTTCGTCCAGCCTTCTGAAGAATTCGCACCTATTAGAATTGCTGCTGTAGGTCCTCAGCGCTCTTTCGGCCCATGTTTGGGGTCTTGGGATGTCACGGGATAGTCCCCTTTGCCTCTTGTCCAAGAAGTCAATTACATCATCGTAATAATTATGTCTGTAGTCGAACAAATATTTGTATTGCAAGAATTTAGGCCTGAAAACAGCGAAGTTTAGAATCGACGTTTGTGATTGATTTAGTCAGTATTTCTCACCTGATCCAATGCCTGCAAAGCAAAAGCTTGTCGGGGTCAAGAAATTCGGCTTCTTCGTACTCCTCTGGTGGAGCTTCCTCAGCTGGTTTCGGTTCTTCTACTGGTGGTGGTGGAGGAGCAGCTGCACCTTTCTTTCCTTTCTTCGCGGTTTCGGCCTTCTTCACGAGCGACACTGGCTCTGGCGGTGGTGCATCATCGTCGCCTGCTCCAAACCAGTCGCCAGCATCATCATCCATAATATCAGATCCTGAACAAATCAAAGAGTGAGCAACCGGAGACTAAAAATGATCGGCACTTACAAAAGTCGCGAGGTATATCACTTATGTACTGGAGACCTTTGCAAAGTCTGATGATCTAACTGTACGACAGTTTTAAACGGGACCAAAATCGTCCCCGCCTCCCCACACCTTGCCAATCACAAACACACCAGCGTTCTTTCTTTATTTATAATCTGTCCTGTGTTCACTTTATTGTATCTTTTCTTTCTCTCGTCGCCAATGTCCGTTTGTGACTCTTGACCAAAGGCTTAAATATAACATTGCAGGACCCTGTAGGGTCAACGTTAACTGATAGTTTGAGGTAGCCATGGAAATGATTCATGAATTTCGACACTTTCCCTGAAACTTTCGATTTCGTGCAATAGGAGAAGAAAAACAATCGCATTCATTGTTTTCTAAATGCTACTAAAAATAAGCGATACCCCACTGACACGCATTGTTTTTGCCATTTCCATTCGGGTTATCCTTGAAGGAAAATTCCCGAGGCTTATTTGATCGTGTATATCCCTAATCTAAAAACCCCAATACCGATCTTAATGTCAATAAAGCAATTAATCGTACATCGCCGTTGACGGTTTTTGGCAGGTGCTTTATTTGTGTCTCCAGCTCACACATAAATAGTCAGGTTGGAACGTTTGGCTGCCACACACATCGGGCTACAATGGGAGATAATACAACATCAGGAAATAAACATATCTGCACGGGTCATCATTTACACACGCACATTATTATTTTATTGTCCTGGAAAACCTGGCTTAACATTCCACATAGCTTTTGCATTGTATTGGCCGGAATGTGTACCAGATTATAATAATATCCGAACACAACAACTATTTTCCGCAATTCATTTACCTGAGTCAGCTGAAGTGACATAATTTACCGCACCTAATATTCACTATTATTAGGAATAGTAAATAGTACACTTAAAAATAACGAATACTAGAAACTTCTATGTTTACAAACGTTTGCAAAGATGATTCAAAGAAAGTACCTTTAAATAGTTAACATTAAATCAATATTATAAATAAAACATACGAATATACATAACCTAACCAAAAAAGTTCTTGCGTTTTTTTTTTCATATAGATTGTCATGAATCATTTTTGAGTTGATTGGACTTGTTTATATAGTGTCATCTACTCTTTCATTTCATCCATTCTAATTTAGCAGTAATTGTTCAAATCATATTTAAAAATAATTTTAAATGACAACAAATAAAACTTTAATTCGAGTTTGTTTACTTTATAAATCGGCACCAAAGCTGCTGAGACGGCGAGATAAATATGTATTGAGTTCGGATAACCTGCTGTAAGTGATACAATAGCACAGAAGTAATTTAATTTATTGATTACATAATGAACTGGCTTTATCTATAAAATAATTTTAAAAAATATTTTAATTTCAATTAATTTCCCGAGAATACCGAAATTATAGAAAGTTAAATTAAGAGATACTCAATATGTATAAAACTTCCATGTTTTCCTTTCATAAAGTTTTGTAATAGACAAATTGAATAAAATTTATAAATATGAAAAAATGAAGGTTTCCAATTCTGTATAGTGTAGTAGATAATTTTCCGGAAATTTTGTTATTTTTTAAATGGAAAGTTATTAAAAATGATTCATCATCCAAAATTTTTTTTTGTCTGGATTATGAATTTTCCAACATTAGCTAGAGTTAACCTAGACGTATTCTATTGCTATTCAGATTAATTTCAGTATTTTCTAATTACACTAATACCTCGCATAGTCCGGATTCACTGCTGTTTAATTGAGCAATATGAAAATAAATTCTAAAATAAAAAATACATAAACTTAATTATATTGTACATACATTATTGTTTATTTTTTTCATTGTTCAGTCAAGACTCTTTTTGTACATTATATTTTTATGCAGTCTTAAAGTCCTCGATCGGAACCGATTACCCGGACTGTGCGAGGTATTCTTGCATAATGTTCCTAGATCGCACAAATGACTATGAAGGTATAACGCACCACTAGACATATCTTATTACATATTTGTAATTAGATAATATTTTTTTGTTATTTATGAGTATATTTTGTACATGTTTTTGATCCGTGCTTTCTATTATATTTTCTATATTGTAGTTACCAGAAAAACATAATATTAACAACAATTAAGCGGCGATTTTCTAAACAAGAATATTCTATAAAAAGCGTATTCCGTGTGCAAACACACATAAAGTGACTAAGTAAATATGTCAGTGGAGAAAATCCTCATTTAAGTAGAACCGAATAAAATGCGAAATCTTTTAATAGAAGTAACTTATTTAGTTTTTCCTTGTCACCTGTCAAAATATTTAACATTCTCGTCGGACGTGTTAAATTGAACGTTTTTTGGTGATTCAGACAGCGCCTAATCGGTGTGCGTCCTCTGCAAAATTATTTTTATTATCCTTGCACGCGTCGGGATGTTCTCTCGAAACTTTCCAATAATATAAATTAGATAAGTCAATACATTATTCAATGTGAATGTTGGGTGTTGACTATTGAACGCGCTCAGATTGTGTTCCATACACATATGCAGCCATGGGATTAAAATAAAGCGCACTTATTTTTATTCACCATTGTCTCCTAAATTATTCAAGGCGTTTTGGCCCGTGCCAGAAAGTAAATAATTAATGATGCTTAGTTTTACATGAAATAATTCTTTACTTAGTTAATTGCCGCATTGGAGCTTTTCCTGTGTAAACTGTGAATTAATAATTGAATTGATAAAATCAGCAATTTACGATTATAATTTACTGACGATGATTGTAATAATTTGAAAACGCTTGTTTGCTGGGAATCGTAATGAATCTTATTGCAAGTGTCGGCAGTTACATAGTAATTTGTCATTAATTTATGAGCAATGTAATTAAGCCTGTGCCAAAAAGATCGCACTATAATGGACCGGTACTGAATTAAAATGAACAGACAAATTTATGAATAAAGTGACTTTAACTAATTATGCCTCATTCTCATCAAAAGTTTTCAAAGTACGAACGCGAAAATAGATGGACCAATTACCTCTGCATATTTTAGGATTGGCCAATATCAATTCGTATATGCTGCATATGCATGGCAACGTCACATTGGGTATTACTATTAGTGTTACAGCATGTCCCAAAGGTCGAATGCAGTCGAGCGTATTATTACTTCATTTCGCGTGGGTCCGTGATTCTTATTAGAAAAACATTATCCGCACCTGCCTCTGCATATTATTTCACACGGAAAAATGGAATTTTGCCAGAAATATTTCACACGGTTGTTCAATTATATACGCTTACTCCATCTAGTAGAATATAAATTTAAGTAGATACTATAACAGAAATCTGTAGAAAATTAGAAATATTTATATCGCTTAATATTTAGTGAAATAAGGCGTGGTAGTTGATCATTATTTTGGACAGTTATGCTTCCACTTGGACACATCTTATAGAGGGTGTCCAAAATGTACTCAAGATTTGAATTAAATAGAAAACACAGTTTATTATTCAATAATAAAATCACAATCTGAAGACTAAAAACTGTGTTTTCTATTTAATTCAAATCTTGTGTTAATTTTGGGACACCCTTCATTAACACATTGGATAGTCTTTTGAGTCACATGCTATTTTAAAATCAAGGAACTCTTAAATAGAAACATTTAGCTGTTATAGTATCACATCATGTAATCTATTTTAACTTCATTTGGGATAGATTAGTCCTTTCAAGATATATAAAAGGGTCTGTGCCATGAGTAATGTTGAACAGAATAAATTAAAAGTTAGCTGACAACGTATTAGTCACCATCGAAATGTCTATATCTAAATACTAAAATATAAATTCTTGTTAAAGATTTATTTTGTAATTTATTTTTCATTGCTCCAATTGCTATATTATTTTACATTTGTATACTGCAGTTAATTGGTTTTACCAATATCCCAGACTGTTTAAAACTTAACTAATAAAATAAATAAATGTTTTAATTTTAAATACACTATTTGTACACTATTTTTTTTAGAATATTTCATACAAAAAAAAATGCATTCTGAAAAAAAAGTAAGACGTACATAAATATAAATATAAAAAAAAATGAAATTATAAACTAAACCAAATAAAAGTAAATCTTCTCGAATTGAAACAAATAATATATTCTGAAGCATCATTCGGCTGAAGAATGATAAAATTCGTTCGGACACGGTCTATCCACCCTTCATGATGAAAGACCCGGCCTCCCCTGATTCACACTCGTAGGAACTCCCGCTCCGGGTCATCCACATCTAACATCAAACATAAACATGATGTCCAAAAAGCAGACGTGTGTTTCAACATAAAGTTGTCTAAAATCGTCTTTTCAAGCCTGCAGCAACTCTGCGCGATTTTCTGCATTCTTTGGCGAGTTTAATTTGTTAATATAGGTTGTAACTATGTGTGTTCATTGTTATTGGTTACTTGTGATTATCCTGTGAATTTGTTGTCCTGAAGGTCTTTAGTAGATCACCGTCTTTTTATTAAGTGGCCTTACTTTGATGTTAGGTATACCCGGATGGGTTGGAGTCTCTTAAGCCTACTGATGTTAGGTATACCCGGATGGGTTTGGGCCTCTTACATTTGGAAGACCATGCGCATGATCTTTCGGTTGCATGCCATACACCAGGGGGAGAATGGCGAAGTGCATCGGTTTGTCGGATTTGGCCCTGGCATTTGGAGCACTTGGTCTTGTTCGACATGCGTGTTGCGTGAGTGAATTGTTGACACGCTTGGCAAGGCACAGGATTTTTAAATTATTTGTTTGTATCTACAAAATATCTGTGATCTTTCAAATATGTAAAAGGAAAATGTCATGATTTGCTTTTGCTCCATCTTCGTATGGAAAATGTTGTGCTTAAATTAATTGAAATTAACACCTTAAACAAAAATTATTTTATCTCACTGAAGAACTTAAAAAATATTAATCATTGCATTTGTAGAATTATTTCAATACAAGTGCTCTGGTAGAGTGGCTAAATACTACTTTGCGATCCATTGTGAAGAAATCAAAGGGGTCTAATATTGAATTTACTTGCCCTCACGATCGATGCACCAAAAAATCAACACTGCTAATGGATCGTCTACAATAACATCAATAAAAAACGATCATG